TAGAGATCCAGATCTTCTTACATCTCAGGCTGGTTTCGTGGGTGCTCAGAGTGGTCTGGTAGATATCCAGCTCAATTCCGGGGACCAGTTGAAATAGGGTCCCTACTCCTCCGCCATCTTTCCCCCCACCCTTTTATTTGACTTTTCATGCCCTGAGAGCAAGAGTGTAGTTTCTTTCTGTTAGCGAGATGGCAGCATGCTTTCTGTTTTGAGCCTCTTTCCGTCTGTGTTTAGTCATTATTTTTTGTCTGTCCTGATGGCATTGGCTGAGTCTGGAAGATGTTGAATAGGTACTGAATAGGAAGATGTTGAATAGGTACTACAAAGAGGGGAAGGCATCTGGGTGAAGGTAGTGATTTGTTTAAATGTACTAGGTGATGGTGGCAGATGGAGGGTGGTTTCAGGGGAAGATGAGCATCATTTCTGACATGGTGCACCTAGTTATGGGGCCATGATGTAACAGGTGCCAAGTTGTGCTACCTATATAATTTTCATAAATGGTCTGCATTAGGGGTCCAACTTTATTCTTTTTGTATGCACATCTAGTTGTTCCAGCACCACTTGATGAAAAGTCTGTTCTTCTCCTTTCAGTGTTCTTGGGACTTTTGTCAAAAATAAGTAACTATGGATACATGGTTTATCATTTGATGCTTATTCTGTTAATGATCTGTGTGTCTGTCCTTATGTCAGCCCTACATTACTTTGATGACTGCTACTTAGTAAAGTAAATCTAGACATTGGAATTATGAATCCTCTGCTTATTTTTTCCCAGTATTCTCTTAGCTGGAACTCCTTGATTTTCCATATGAATTTTATTATGAGATTGTCAGTTTCCAAAATGAGCCAGTTGGAAATTTGATAGAGATCATGGTGAAACTAAAGCTTAATTAGGGGACTATTTATGAATGTGAGTTTCAGGACAGAGAGGGAATGAGAGATGTCTAGAATCATTGACAGAACTTGGGTAGTCAGGAAAGCAAGTTAGTAAGAAAGTCCATTTTTGACTGAATTTAAGGTGATGAGGGACACTCAATTCATATGTCCGGTAGGCCACTAGAATTCTGTAATAGGGGTCTGGAAGAGAGCTGGAACTGGGGAAACAGCATTGGAGCATTGAGAGTCCGTGAGATCTCTGACAGAGCAAAAAGGGACGCTCTGAGGCCGGAGCACCTGCAGTGTCCATAATGAGAAGCCAAGAGAAGGAAGGGAAATCAGGAATGAGGGGCCAGAAATGTGAGGGGCAGATCAGGCTGGGCTGATGCTAGGGAAGCCATAGGGAAAGTGGGCAGAAGTATAGCTTCCTTCAGAGAGTTTGAAGCGAGTGAGGGCTGGGAGGAATGGCCAGTTCTCAGTTGGACCAGGGAACCCTCTGCACCCTCAGAATAACATCTGCATGGAAAATTCACAGCACAGTCAGAATAACGCCTGTATGGAAGGGGGATGAGAGGCAGTGTGTGGAGCTGCCTGGGTTCTCTTGAACCCACTCACTGGGATACAGATCTTACTGGAGCCAAGGCAGGGCTTCTTCTCATAGCTCTCTTTCCTCCCTCAGGTCAGTGTACTTCTCAGATGCCTGCCCTTTCCCAAGCTGGGAAGTCAGGAGACCAGGCAGTGGCAACTGTGCTTCGGATGGTCAGGCCCCAGGTGAGCTGGACTCTGTCTTCCCTGAGTTCCCAAGTCTGTGGCCTGGGAATAGCTAGCGCTCATCTCCAGGGCTCTGGCCAATTCTGAGATTAATCCTGCGGTTTCCCTGCCTAATTGCTTCCTCTGGAATTGGGCCCTGCCTGCTGAGTTCATGGATTCTGTCTGGCCCTGAACTTGTCCTTTTAGATGTGTCATCCCAGCTTCTCTCCCTCCCTCACCCCTTTCCCCACCAGGGCCCGACCTGGGCTCTTGGTACCCTGATGTGTCTGCCCTTCAGGCCGGGAATATCCCTGAGCAATAGAAGCTTGTCATTCCAGGGATCTGCAGCGTACCAGTTCCTGTCTGTGGACTATACTGAGAGGAAGTGGAAAGGTCCAGCCCTCAGTCAGAGAGCCGTGTACCGGAGCATCGTGCCGGAAAATTATTGCAGCATGGCCTCATTGGGTAATGATTCTGTTCCCCAGTAATACAGTCTGCATTCTTTTCTTTACATTTTCTTTGCTATGTTCTTTTTTTTTTGTCAACTTTTTTATTATGAAAAGTTGCAAACATGAGATAAAGTAGAGAGAATACTCTAATGAACCTCTCTGTGCCCATCACTCAGCCTTAAGTTATCAACATTGTCTTTACTTCATTATTAATTGACCTAGGGTGGTTTGGTTAGAGTTTGTAGTTGTAAGGAATAGGGAGCCACTCACATTATTGTAAGTACTGAGCTGTGTTACTTAAAATAAGGCTGAAGGAATGGAAACCCTGATCAAACCCACCAGCTAGACCATCTTTTGGGAAACAGGGCCCTCAGCAACAACAGCAAATAATTTTTATGCCAGGGAATGTAATGCTGTTGCTCCCCGCATATCTGTTTTGTCCTCCCACTGCTACCCATTTTCTTCATTCTGTATCTTTTGTCCTCTCATAGTTGCTTCTTTATTAGACTATCCGTTCCCACGTACTTTCTGCATGCTATGGCTCCTAATGGCTTGGCTTCTCTCCATGCCTCATTTCAGTTTAGAGCTCCTTCTTGTTTTAGTTTTCTTTATTTTGCCCTATTTCCAGCTCACATTTTACTTAGAGAGGGCCTCCAAGGGTGGTTCAGCCTTTAAGTATCATCTCTGTTTGGGCAGAACTTTGCCCCTGGCCACAGCAGAAGTGTAGCATACAGAGAAGCTACACTTGGGCCTGGTGCCCTGGTCTAGTCAGTCGTGGTCTGAGATGTATTGAGACCAGTTACTTGGCACAAAGCATGGCTGCCTCAGCTTCCCCTTCGGGAAGGACTGAGGCAGGACAGCTTCCTGGAAAGGGGAGTTTTCAGGGCAGGTTCCCTGGTTGGCAAGTCTAGCACAATAGCCAACTCTAGAGAGGGTGGGTGGGCTTAGGAGTCCAGGAGCCAGATATCTATATCTTCCCTATATGCTGAAATGCCATATGATGGCCTGTGGCCCTGGTTAAGATACGATTAAAAGGAACCAACAGTTTTGTGTTTTAGACATGACTGATTGCTTGCTACTTCCACCTGTTCCAAATTCAAAAGGAAATACTTAACTGTTCAGTTTCCTAGGATTCCAGATTATCAAGATACCAAAGACATATTTTGATTCCTATTTCAAATTATCGATCCCTTTCTTAATTTTTATAGGAATGTAGTACTTGCTGTATTGACTTCTACCAGTCTAGTGCACCAGAGACTAGGGGAATCCCCACTTTTACAGCTCTGCTGTCCCTTCCAGTACTTTTCCCCAGCATTTCTGAACCTGTGACTTCTCTGAATCTTGTCACTGTCCTCACATATGAGAATCATTTTTTGGTACGTTTTTTCCTAACTGTGTTTGCTCATACTGTTTCTCATATTTGATTTGAGGTATTTGCCTCTCCTTTCTCTCCCCAGTATCTTTACTGGGAACCATGGAACCATACAGTGTCATGGTTGGAAAGGACGTTAGAGTTCATCATTTTACTAAGTGACTTCTGTAAGATCACACCACCTTTACAGTCTGCGCTCTTGCCTTCCAGTTGCTCTTTTTAGTTGGACAATTAACGTGGAGAAATTAAGAGCTTCACGACAGAGCTCTGTCCTGATAGCTCTTCTTCCACCCTCCCCCACTGACTGCCTTTGTCCTCTTTGTCTTTCTGTCCTTGAAGAAAAGCTTGAGCTATTTCCCATCTTTCTCTTGTTCTTAATGTGTCATCTCTTAATGTGTCCCTTAATGTGAAGGTTTTTTCAGGTCCATAGACTCCTGATGATTCTGTTTCATCAGCAGGACAAGAAACGAATAAGAGTTGTTTTCTTCTTTCTTTTGGCAGCAGGTGAGACTAGGATGCGGCGTTCAGAGTTGCCTGCAAAGCAGGAAGTTTCTAAAGGATCGGCGTCATCTGATGGGACATCAGGAGGCCTCTGTGGAGTAGTTTCTGGGGAACCAGAGACAGGAGCTGCCTGTGAAGGTACTTTAGAGAAGCTGGAAGGGCAGTCTTCAGATGAAGAAGGGAGTGGACTGGAAAGTGATTTCTTCAAAATAACACACGAGGATAAGGATAAATCCACAAAAGATGGATGTGATGAATATAGTGAACTTGGGAAACATCCAGATCTGTCCTCTAGTGCTGCAGAACATCAAGGAGTTCTGAAGGGACAGAAATTTTATCAATGTGATGAATGTGGTAAAGCTTTCAATCGGAGTTCACACCTCATTGGGCATCAGAGAATCCACACTGGAGAGAAACCCTATGAGTGTAATGAATGTGGTAAGACCTTCAGGCAGACCTCTCAGCTCATAGTTCATCTCAGAACCCACACAGGGGAAAAGCCCTATGAGTGCAATGAGTGTGGAAAGACTTACCGACACAGCTCCCATCTTATTCAACACCAGAGACTCCATAATGGTGAGAAACCATATAAATGTAATGAATGTGGAAAAGCTTTCAATGAGAGTTCCAAACTTTTTGACCACCAGAGAACCCATACTGGGGAGAAACCTTATGAATGCAATGAGTGTGGGGCTGCCTTTAGTCGGAGTAAAAATCTCGTCCGACATCAGGTACTTCACACTGGTAAAAAACCTTACAAGTGTAGTGAGTGTGGGAAAGCTTTCTGTTCTAACAGAAATCTTACTGACCATCAGAGGATCCATACTGGGGAGAAGCCTTATGAGTGTAATGAATGTGGCAAGGCCTTCAGTCGGAGTAAATGTCTTGTTCGACATCAGAGCCTCCACACTGGGCAAAAACCATACAAATGTAATGAATGTGGGAAAGCCTTCAATCAGAACTCTCAACTTGTTGACCATGAGCGAATTCATACTGGAGAAAAACCTTTTGAATGTAATGAGTGTGGTAAGGCATTCAGTCTGAGTAAATGTCTTATTCGACATCAGAGACTTCACACAGGTGAAAAGCCCTATAAATGTAATGAGTGTGGAAAATCCTTCAATCAGAGCTCATACCTCATTATTCACCAGAGAATTCACACTGGTGAGAAGCCTTATGAATGTAATGAGTGTGGGAAGGTCTTCAGTCATAATTCTAGCCTTATGGTTCATCAGAGAACCCATACTGGGGAGAAACCCTATAAATGTAGTGATTGTGGGAAAGCTTTTAGTGACAGCTCACAGCTCATTGTGCACCAGAGAGTTCACACAGGTGAGAAACCCTATGAATGTATTGAGTGCGGGAAAGCCTTCAGTCAGCGTTCCACTTTTAATCATCACCAGCGAACTCACACTGGAGAGAAGCATTCAGCTCTGGCTCGCACAGTTTATTGAGACATGATTCTCTAAGATAGCAAGATATTTTGAGTTAATCTTTCCTTGTAAGAAAGATACTCACCCTGATCTCCTCTTAGAATCACTAATCAATGAGGGCCATTCCCTCCATTCTTTCTGCTTGAAAATGAAGGTGGGAGAGTCACAGGGCCCTCCTTCACAGCTATGAGGGAAGTAAGGACTACACATTTCTTGGACTTGTAGATTCCCTTCCTCCCTTTCTCCCTCCCTCCCTTCCTTCCTTCTCTTTCTCTCTCCTCTCTTTTTTGTTTAAAAATGTATCTCTGGTTTTAGTTATGAATCCTATAATCAAATTATGTGCTTCTAAAGGACAGTAATTATATGCTTCCTTTCTTTCCAGCTAATTCATTTCACATTTGCATAAAGTCATTCTCCAATGCTCTGGTTTTTTCCTATCTTGGGTATGGCCTTTTAAAAAGTTCTATTTTAATCTAGATTCTCATCACTTGTATTTCCTATCTAGAAAACCTTTTTTTCTTTCTGTTTCCTAATCTTTATCCCTCAGACCCTGTAAGATCCAGCTCATCTCAGAAAGACTTTCTTCTTGAAATGCTTTTTCCTTCCTCCTAAACTTCTCTTGATTTGACCTCAGTGCTTCAAATTAGTCTGTGCTACAATTTGCCATTGTTATTAAATTGCATTCAGAACAATTGTCAAGGCATAGGTGTACACTTTCATAACAAATTAATGTAGGTTCTTTGAGGTTGAGTATGTATTTCTTTTAGCATATAGATAATTTTCATATGCTAGTTGTTTAATAATTTTTTTAAAGATTTTTAAATTTTATTTATTTGACAGAGAGAGAGCTAGAGAGGGAACACAAGCAGGGGGAGTGGGAGAGGGAGAAGCAGGCTCCTGGCTGAGCAGGGAGCCCAATGCGGGGCTTGATCCCAGGACCCTGGGATCATGACCTGAGCCAAAGGCAGACGCTTAACAACTGAGCCACCCAGGCGCCCCTAGTTGTTTAATAATTTTTTTAAACTCACCTTTCCAATTCAACCATTCTTAAACTGGGCAGGAATTCCCCTTCTACCACTGGACCTAAGTGTTTTAAAGATGGATATCGTAGGATACCAAACACAAAGGCCTCATTCATATCTTCTACATATACCTCTGGGAGTTTTAGTGCTGTTTACCTCAGCTTCAAAGAACTAACGATTTGTGCTTGAGCATGCCTCTATTCATGCATGTCTGTGTGTGTGTGTGTCTAGGTTTTGAAGTCAGCAATTATTCCACTGATACATACTTTTTCCTGCTTTCTGTGATTGGAGCTCACAGTGACTGATTTCCTTACTACGTAGTTCAATCTACCTGTAACTGCCATCTAATAACAAGGTGAGAGGAGTACACTTAATTATTGTAATTATCTTCTGCGCCATCAGGAGGTCTTTTCAGAGTCCAGTAGTCGTATAGGAGACATTAGCTTTGAACACCTTATCCCTTCCACCATTGCATGAGTGCCCCAGTGCAGGGGAGCCTTTGCCTCTGGTGTCTGCCCCTTATCTCTTAGCAGGACAGTAGGATTGACAATGTGGCAGAGGAGGTTAGAGGGGCAATGTCAGATTATGTAACCTGGAAGGGAGAGATGATTGTGAGCTGTGATTTATATCTGAGACAATGGAGAAGAAAGGGAAGAGAATTGAGGCTCAAGAAAATAAGAATTAGATGTGATTTGTGGAGAGGCATCTCAGAAAAAATTAGAGTGTTACTGGGGAGATCTGTAAAACTACTGAACCAAGGGTACAGCTAGAAATTTGCCATTTGTAAGTGTTTTAAATTAAATTTCTGTTTTCAGATATATTTTTGCTATTTGTTTCCATTTTCCTTTACAGGATCTGCAGATAGGACTTTCTTAAAAGTGTTTTATCTTGGGAGCACCCAGATCCTGAGAAGGAGCCCAACCCCATGTTAGCACAAGGGCCCATCCCTCTACTGTGATTTGCACATTATTAGTCATGTCTTCAGTAGAACCCCCTGCCTATTGTATGCTATAATTTTACCTTCTGTTTGTTGTTTGCTCATCCTCTTACCACTCTGAGTCTGGAGGGTGAGAGCCAGCACTATTCATAAGTATATACCCTCCACCACCAGTCAGGTGCACATGTTCAGTAGGAATGAATGTCCTTACTTCCTTGAAAAGTACTCAGGCTCTTGCATGGAGGAAAATGGGCTATATATGAAAGCCACACCTCAATTTCTATTGGTTATTGCTAGTATTTAAAAAAAGTATTGAGTTTTAAAAATTTTATCTGGATCCAATTGCCTTGCTAAGTTATTTTTAGTTTGAATAGTTTTTTAGTATGATTTTCTAGCTTTTCTAAGTATACAATAAATAATGGTTAATATTCTCTTCATTTTCAATCTGTATGTCACTTAAGTTGTGTGTTAGCAAAACTATTTAAAAAAATCTTTTGAATAGTGGACGACAGATTTTTTTGCTGAGTCATGAAATATGTGTAACAACTGCATCTCTTTAAAGTATACGATTGAATGAGTTTTGATAGATAACTCCATGTAGGAAACCATCTCCACAATCAAAATACAGAACATTTCATCATCCCCAAAAGAGTCCTCTTGTAGCACATTCCTGCTCTGGCCCCAGTCCCAGGCAACTACTGATCTGCTTTTTGTCACTGTAGATTTGTTTGCATTTTCTATAAAAATGGGTTACCATCTCTCTTGTTAATGAAAGCCAGGGAAGGTGCTCTGGCATGTGCTAGTGTTCCCCACCTGGGCTCCTTTATGAAGGCCTGAGGGAGCGGGTATGACTGGGGCCACCAGGACATTGTAGGCTGTTGGAATTCTTGAGAGGACCTTGTTAAGAAGGGTCTGGATGGTAATGGCACTTTAAGGTAGAAAGAGTTAGAAAATTGAAGTAAATCTGGGAAGACAGGAGGATATCAAGTAATGAGAACTAAGTCATATCTATCTGTCTACATAATTTCTGAAACATAAAGAAGCAAAGATGTAACTAGGCAATCAATCATACGATGTTCATATAGTAACCAGGGAGCTTGGGAAGGTGGCGGAGTAGGAGGACCCTGAACTCACCACATTTTCAACTAGATAATATCCATATCCAAGTCAATAAACTAGACTGTGATCTGAAGGCTAGTGAAACAAACTCCACAACTAAATATAGAGAAGAAGCTGCATCTGAAAGTTTAGGATGGTCAGAAAGGTGGAGGGAGACTACCTGCAGGAGGGAGGGAACTGCACACACAAAGAGGGCAGAGAAATGGGTCCTTGTACCAGGAGGCTCACATGGGAAAGACTAATCCCCATAGCATTTGGCTTTAAAAACCAGAAGGGCTGAATTTTGGAATGAGGAGCTTTGGAGGTAAGCTGATTAAACACTGGGCAAGCTGGGAGGCCGTGGGTTGCTGCCCTTAAAGAGACAGCAGCCTGTGCAGAGAGGTACTTAAAAACAGTTTACACAACACCACTGACAGACAGATCTGTTCATACTGACTTCGGAGTGTTTGGGGGACCATGAAAACAGGACATGGCAGGTGTCATTTTCCTCCACTAGCCCCAGTATAAGCACAGAGACACTTGGGGGAGGTGGGGTGGCACAGATACTTGCTACCTAACCTGCTAGCAGTGGGCTATGCCCAAGTTCTCCTGAGGACTCACCCACTCCAAACCAGCTAGCCTTAGCCGTGGACTCGGCAAATTTTGTTAAAGCTGTGTGGGCACCCAGCCAACAGCTGCACAGGTGCCACCTTGTGCCATGCATATGTGCCATGTCACGCCCAGCTGTGTGCCTCCAACCACCCTCATGTGTTTCACCCAGCTGCATGCCTCCAGCCACAGGCACATGCTGTGCTTGCATGACTGGCTGTGTGCCCCTAGGCCCACCAGGCACCATTCCACACCACACCCAGTTGCATGCCCCAGCTACAGTTGTGTGTCCCTAGTTGCAGTTGCACACCTTGCACAGCCACCAGGTACACAGCTTCTGCCTAGCCCAACCACTGCATCAGGGCCAAACACCACACCACACCCAGCTGTACATCCCTAGCCAAAGCAGCACTTCAGGGGATCCTGCAAAGGACTAGTGGTCCACTGCAAGTTTTGCTAACACCATCGCCGTCTCCTCCAAGTTCCCCCACAGGCACACACCCCACCCCCAACCAGAGGTGGCCTGCCTGGGTTCCACTAACACCACAGAGAGCAAGCACCGCTCACAACAGGCAGAGAGCCAGTAAAGATGAATGCATTGAAAGGAAAAGTGACAGACACAACAGCAGGGTATAAGTAATACATATAGGATACTCTCCTGAAGTGCCAGGTTCTGATGAACAGGGGACACTGCACTGCAGGACACTCCAGGAACTTTTCATAAAGTCACTATTTGAAGAGCAGAAGACACAGTTGACTTTCGTAACACAGAAAAATAGACAAAATGAGGAGACAGAGAAATTTATCCCAAATGAACAGGACAAGGCCACAACCAGAGATCTAGGCAAAACAGTTATAAGTAACATGCCTAATAGAGAATTTAAAGTAATGATCATAAGGATACTCACTAGACTTGAGAAAAGAGTGGAAGACATGAGTGAGGCCATTAAGACAGGAATAACAATTAACATAGTTGAGATGAAGAGCACAATAAATGAAATGAGAAACACTTGATGGAATGAACAGCAGGATAGAAGAAGCAGAAGAACAAATTAGTGACCTGGAAGACAGAGTAATTGAAAATTATCAAGCTGAACAAAAGAAAGAATTATGCAAAACAAGAATAGACTTAGGGAACTCAGTGATTCCATCAAACATAGTAACATTTGTACTATAGGAATCCCAAAAGAAGAGAAAGGGGGCAGAAAATTGACTTGAAGAAATAATAGCTGAAAAATTCCCTAATCTGGGGAAGGAGGCAGAGAACCCCCAACAGAATCAACAAAAGCAGACCAATACCAAAACGTATTGTAATTAGCTTTGCAAATTACAGTGACAAAAAATGTTAAAAGCAGCAAGACGAAAGAAGTCATAACTGACAAGGGAAAACCCATAAGGCTAGCAGATTTTTCAACAGAAACTGCAAGCCAGAAGAGAATGGCATGATCTATTCAAAGTGCCAAATGAGAAAAATCTGCAGCCAAGATACTCTATCCAGCAAGGTTATCATTCAGAATAGAAGGAAAGATAAAGAGTTTCCCAGACAAACAAAAACTAAAGGTGTTTGTGATCACTAAACCACCTCTGCAAGAATTATTAAAAGGGACTCTTTGGAAAGGAGAGACCAGGGGGAGGGTTAAGATGGCAGACGAGTAGGGCAACCCTAACAGACCTCCTCCTTTGCACACAGCTAGATAAATTTCAGATCATTATGGACACCCAGGAAATTGATCTGTGGACTAAGAGAACAAATCTGCACATCTACAAGCAGAAAAAGGGACCATCTTGTGGAAGGTAGGAACTGCCCAGAGTTTATTTGGGGGAGAAAAGAGCCACAGGCATTGTAGAGGGGAGGGAGGCCTGACCACAGAGGGAGGAGCAAGAGAGAAGGAGTGAAAAAAAGTGAAAACATGGGCAGGGGATTGCACAAGAAAAACTCTTTCCCAAAACCACTGGGGAAAAGGAGAGAATTTAAATACCGCAAATAAAATAACTAAACTAAAATAAATCCTGCAAGTTTTTTATAAATAGCAGGGCACAGTCTGAATCTTCAAAGGTCAGCACCATCACCAGGGTCATGCCAGGAGAGCTGAGTGGTGCTCCGGTGGGGAAGGGGAGTGGAGACCCAGAGCGGGCAGCATGGTCTGAGGATCCCCTGAATTGCATGGGCAGAAATAGTTCCCCTGCTTTGAGTGCAC